TATCAGTAACATATTATTGTTGTCTTCATCTTCCTGCCCTGTTCCTAGTCTATATGGCATCGCACTTCGGTCGGTACTTCCACTCTTCATTGTCAGCCGTTATCTCATCACTCACTCCCTTCACTTTCATATCCTGCCTCATACAGTATTTCAATCTTTTCTGTGGTCGTCCTTTCGCCCTCCATCCATCGAGATTCACCTACATCACCATTTTTTATTCACATTCATTTCATCCTTTTCCATTATACATCCGTGCCTTGTCACCTTACCGTATTCATTTGTAGTTTTTTTTTTATTGTTGCACGACAAAGTGACTGTTATATACCTGGTGGGAAGTGATATTACAGTCTAATAATAGTCGAAGCTGTCAGAAGTCGAAACTACTCCTGGTAGCCACCACTATCTTGCCGGCCTATTAAAGAGCCTTTTCACACCTCTTTTGATGCACCCAACGTTACATTTAATTGGAAAAACGTGGGATGGGAGACTGTTCCACATTTTAATGGTACGGCAATTATATGATTTGCCGATTTTTTTTGTACGAGATGGTATAGTACAAACAGTCTGGGAATGGCAGCGAACACCGGCACGTGTCAACCTGTTACGGAAGGAGGAGGGGGGAATGATGTTAAATAATTCCTCGGAGCACTCTCCATGATAGAACCGATAGAACACACTGAGTGAGGCAATATCGCGCCTCATTTGCAGTGGCTCAAGATTGTTGGTTAGCCCCTCATCGTTTATGATACGTACTGCTCGCCGCTGCAGCTTGTCTAGGGCATCCAACAGATATTTTACGGAGTCATCCCAAAAATGCGAACAGTACATAGACCTGACCTGGGTTTTATATAGCAAGCACAGTTGCTTGGGTGTAAAAAACCGGCGCACTCTATTTAAAATTCCGAGCCTGCGAGAGGCAGCAACTATAACGCTTTCGATATTGTCTTTTGGGTTGAGGTCGCTGCGAATATCCATGCCCAGTGTAGTTTTCCTTCAAAGCACATTTGACTGAAATTACCAATTATAATATAGTATATCTCGTCATATCTTTGAGATTTACTTAATTTGTAAAAGTTAGACTAGTAATTTCATTCGATATTATGTAAATCCATTTTTTTGCATAATTTACGTACTTATTATAATAATATTTTTTTCCATTACAACAGAAACAGCTCTAACCTTTTTGTGAAATAATAACAAAGTACGAAATTAAAAAAATTTCATTCGGTTAAAAGTGGCAGGTGAACCATTTTTTTTTCTCCAATGTTCAGTGTTTTAATTACAACTTTCACGATTTGAACTAACTTGATTGGTAATATAACTTTTGGTATGCTAGCTACAAATATAAGTTTCGAGCCCCGAGGTCCCGTCATTTTAGGGCGTAATATTTCTCCAAATAGTACGAAACGAATAAAGTAGGTCTTATATACGAGGTTAATAACTCAGTAACTATTGCTACGATGCACAATCGACAGTGCCTAAAAAATATATATCTTTCCTATCTAGCGAACCTTACTTATAAATTGTAGATATTTAGTGCTTAGGATTGTTAGAAATTATCTGAAATCATTTTCAAATTGGCTGATTGCCATAATTGGGTTTTGATGGAAAATTCAACGCAATATTCTTTATTTTGATAATTATTACAAATTATTCTCAAATTTAAAACAGTTAATTTACTCGAAGCTGTTACTAGTGCCTGTTTTAATACTATGCCATTGGTTCGTAAATCTACGGCGAGAGACATTCTACTGAGAAGAACCGACAAGAAACTCAATAAGCAACGCTTTTTTCTCCCTGTTTTATATAGATAATATTTCATAGTATATTTCCATTACAATAAAAATAAAAAATATCGATGTAAATATGTGTGCTATAACAAATTTATGAATTAGAAACTGGTTTGTCTCAAACAATATTACCACGTTTGGTACAGCCACCAACCCATTTAAAGAACCGCTAATAGTAGTCGAAAATAGGAAAAGAAATCTTGAATTGCATGTGAAACATCTTTTTAATATGTTAATTTATATGTTATATTCCAGGCAATGGAATAACATGTAGTTCTTAGAAAATATAATACTGTAAAGGGTGATGAGTAGATAGTAGTTGGTGACTAGTCACACATTAATGTTATAAAAATAGCTTTAGAAAATAAGTAAACTCACCTACCGAGCCAATAGTTAAAATTCGATCACCGACTAAATAATTTATTATCACTGAATGACTTAAGCTATTTATTTATCCCAAGGTTCCATGGCTTAATATAAAATCAATTTGTTAAACTTCTTTTGTTCCTATAGGCACTCTATATCATAATAATAAATGTTATTTTTTAATTTAAACTCAAATGAAATCTTTGGAACGCCATCTGTAATCTATGACCAAGTTGTTAATTTTTGTGAGTTAGCTTCGAACGTATAATATTTAAGATGAGCATTAAAATGAAAAACTGAACGACTTCATAAATTTGTAACTGTATTGCCTTTTCTCACTGTCTGTGCACGGATGGTGTTGGCATAAGTCATATCATATACGCAATAAGCTTGATAATATCTTCGAATTGGTGACATCGTTTTTTACTCGTAAGTTTATAAATACATTGCTAGATGTATAAACATCAATTAAAATGGGTAGAGAATCATAATACTTTTAGTTTGAATATATTTTCAATTACTTCCTGTATTAGTTTCCAAATATATGTTGGATTTGTTGATGACTTATTTAATACTTCTAATCATTATTTTTCACTGATCATATTCAGTTCCATATTAAATAAAACTACATTCAATAGATCATGATCTATCATTTGGAACCCCATTTATATTACTGAACTATCATATTCAGCGTAAGTTCTACACTCAATGTTAATTAAAAAAAAACAATTGAACGCCGTTCGCCCTCTTCCGTTCAATACCAAACATCTAGTTCCTGTCGTGGTTGGCACTGCATAGTCTAATAGCTACGATGCTACTTGTAGGAATGAAAAATAGCTGGAGATGGTTGCGAAATTTATTACTGCCTGTGCAAGTGTACATTTATTTGAGGGCGGGAGGTGTATAGACATATACAGGTAGACGTTAGCTATGCATAGAATTTGAAGACGATCAACATTTCAGTGTAGTGACCACTGATTATTCTTCAACGGATAAAAAAGTAAAAATGTAATAAAACCTGTAAATTATATTTTATTTGTACGTAAGATATAATAGATAGTTTTAATCACCTCCACTGAAAAATACAGCAGACGCCTAATGATTTAAAAAAAAATACTGTACGTTATTTTCCAACGAAATTTAGTTTATTGCTGATTCGAATGAAATATTCTAAATTAAAGCGAGTCTAAAAGCTCTTTTGAATAACCTGAATTTTGGTTGATACCAAGAAAGGCCATATATAGATATCAACAAAATAATATGGCGTCACATACAAAGGAAAAAAATAAACCATTGAGCGTAGGTTGTTACATTTATTAGATACAGACATTTTCTGTATTTATGTAGTAAATATTTTTTTATAATTAGAGGACAGACGTTTAGTCGATGAGGACGATCAAAATAAATTTTTATGTTTTTACTAATAAAATAATAATAACATTTATAATTATTAGACAACATCACATGCATTGCTTCGACCACAAACGAAAAAGCTTTTTTGCAGTTGTAACTACCCAGACTTAAGACAATATTATAAAAAAGTTAGCATGGACACGTCTTGTAAAAATTTAATGAATGTTCTAATTAAAATATATTTGTTATCTATAATAATTTTTAATAGGTTTGTTTTTTACTGTACTTTTATAAATATTTTGTCTTTTTTATTTATCTTTATTAGAAACCTGGTTATCGTAATTTTTGCAATTATACTGAACTTAAGGACGAACACGATCATAAATAATATCGGTCTATATTTTTACACGTGCTTGCATCTCTTTCAGTTTTTTCAATTTTTAAATAAATTAGTTTTCTATACCGGAAAAAAATCTTGCGGATATAAATTTACTATTCGCAACCAACTGACTTTTATAATCAATTACAGTCGTCGATTACTCGTTTTCAAGAGCCATAAATATTCAAGAAGTATAAGAAATGTTAGCAGTGAGCCGTTTGCAGTAGCTTTTTAATTATACCAATTGATTGGCAAGAACTTTATGGCGCGTAGATTACGATCGGTTTCTTTATAAACTCTTCAATCAATCATAGCTATGTTTTGTGTGTGTATTTAAATTTCTTAGAATATGACTATTATAGCAAATCAACTTCACTTTTCAAATTGACAGATATATATTTTTGCTAAACTATTAAACAAACAAAGTATACACGGCTTCAAGTTACGTTACCACAATATGTCAAATTTCTGATATGGATTTTGACCTGTATTAAGGTTTAAATATCGAGTGGGCAATTTCGCCAGTTCTATATAGTCTGACATGCCTGGGTTGACTGTACCTACAAAACGGAACTTCATATTAAGTTATAATACGCTTATAACGAAAGTTAAAGCTGGATAATTCTGAAAGGAGTCCTGTCATCGACTTATGTTAGGAAAGCAAGTTTACATGACCGAAAAGATTTAGGTGAACAAGTTAACTTTTAACTAACTAAGGAAACGTCAGCTCTTAATGAATTTATTTTAGCAGATTTTTAGTTTCAAAAACAGATAAATTACATTCTGCTAATTCGCACAATTTACAGGAGTTAACTTGGGAATTCAATTTTGTTCGCGTAGTCGTAAATCTTTCAGTTACTTTGTCGTCTAAATTCATGAGTTCCATCCGCCATCGCTTCCTGTTACGCAGCTCTCAGTGCTGTGATCAATATTCTTTGAAATTTTGTGCGGTTTGGAATTGCGCGTGTGTTTATTTGTAGTGATTGAGGCGACGGACGCCGCGACGCGCGACGCATGCTAGGAGCATGCCGCAACCACTTCAGTTGTTTCGTGGGAAGCCGTGCGTAAGCGCGCGCGCACCACATGCACACTATTTTATCGTAATAAACGTCAGATATCAAGATCATACATAAAATTGTGCGCCCACTAAAATGTCTTCTCACAAGGATAACAAACAGAGACGCAACGATCATATTCTCAAAAATTTGCCGACAGAAGTGTTACTTAAAGCTAGAAGTACATTAGTTTCGATAAGTGGAGCCTTAAAACCAAAAAGTGAAAGTCAGCAGCGTACAAAATTTACAAAGGAAGACTCAAAAGATAGAAAAAAACCGGACAGGTTAAAAATTAGTCGTTCGGAACCAGAATTCAGTGAAATTAGAAAATCAAAACACAGAAGTCGTATAGATGATAGACCAACCAGGGATTACGCAGTTGGAGCAAAACCGAGGCCATTATCGGTTGGTGCAGTAAAGAGATTTGATAGGGAACCTGAACATTTTCCTAATGGTAGCTTCCCGAAGGAGGCGTCCCCAATGTTACAGAAACATTTTGATTCGTCCGACGATGTGTGTGTGCAATCTTGTTTAGTGTTACCTGTTGCCGAAAGGTTAAGTGCTCAAGACTTTCATTTGCATGAAGGTAGCGAGAGACCACGAAAAAAGTTATCATTCCGGGAACCTGAAATCATTGGTAATAGTAGTGCCACCCTTGGACGATCACATAAGCTTATGGGTGTTAACAGTTTGTCCCGAAGACCCAATCGATTATCATTAAGATCGGAAATGCACTCTTCTTTGGAAGGCATCGATTCTGATTTAGAGGCAAGTCTTTTGTATTCTTAACTTATCCTAATTGTCATTCATATTGTTTATTTCTAACTGTAAGATAGAAATTGGAGTTTTCTTTGAAAATGTCTAAATCTTGTGATACGGAATGCTAAAATTAAAATCTGCCAATAACATATAGTAAAACTAGTACAAAAATATACAACTTAAGTCTAGACAACTTAAATTCAGACTTATTTAAAAAAAATATATTCATAATATTGGACACCTATCCATTAAAATTGTGACATAAGGTCAATATTTGATTTTAATTTTATTCATTAATGTCGATCGAGTATTTTATACTTAAAAATGACCTGTTTGTGAATCGCGAAAGCTATAGAATTTATTTCAATATACAAACCCTACCGTCTTTGTTGTCTGTATTAGTTTCCCCTTCATGAATAATTTGATGGAAAAATGAAATGAAAAAAACGGGCTTTGGTTTTGGTGCACGTGTGAAAATGTCGACATCAAACACATTCCGTCCAATTTGCATTGATTGATGGTGTGCGCTTCTTACCGTATGCTCTGCTATATATCCACTTAACGTTTCTTATTCATCGAAATCCAAATACGTTGCCAACCGAACATCGTCTTCGGCATCATGTTGTTGGCGCAACATTCGCGGAAGTACAAGTTTCTCTAAATTGATCATTATGTTGACATTTTGGCGTATCATTTCGCGTTTGACGTCGAACTCAATATTCCCGTCATCGGTATCATTTATTATTGTGAAAAATCTAATAATTCCGTTATAATAATGTTTGTTTGAAATGTAATTTTGGAATCCAGCGACGGACAAAGAACGTAGTCAGTAAAACAGTCTCAGTATCTAATATTACTCTTAACACAAACGTACAAGTGTTAATGGAGTGAAATAAAGCATACAATGTGCGTATTAGTCGTATCGTATATACATTTCTGTAATCACTTGCTTATATTTACATCAGGAGTAGGGGTGCGTCTCTCAAAATGGGCGTAGAAAGATGTCAAGGGGCCGGAAAACGCTTGCCTTTTAGATAGAAAAAAGATTTTTAAAAGAAAGAAAAAATAAAATGAGTTAACACAATATCGATACAATATGTTGCTTTGTTAATATACACAAGTGTATGAGATGATGATTTTCGATGTAAAGAAAAAAATATTCTAATTTTATATCACGTTCTACAAAAAACATTATAGTACAAGCGTAAACTTCTGCTGTCATCATGAGATTCCATTTAAACTACTTTCGTATACTTAAATTTTCCATCGCATTTGTTCTCAATTTTAAAAAAATGTATCCCGTGTTTTTTTACAGTGGAAGTTCGGTTGAACTATAGAGACATACAATTCACCATTTAAATTTGAATAAACCGAAAATAAGTATCACAACATTAAGCTATTGCAGTAATTCGTTTTAAATAAGTAGATAGACGAAATTAATTAGAAATACAGACCGAGCTGTGCAAGTATCTCTGCTCTAACGGTTATTATATGATCCGAACGAATTAATTTGTAATAGCTAAAATTACCCTCCAAATCGTCACAAGGGGCCCGAATAGTGGGTTTGATCTCCTTTTAAGGAACTTATTTCTATGTCTCTATTCGTAGGAAAGACTTGTACCTCAAAAGAGGGTATATTCATAGGCTGATGATTATAATGACTTTAAAATTGTCGTATTAATAGTTTTGGTATGGAGAAATACATATTATTTGATGATTAATGAACAACCATCTTTAACAAAACAGACGGGTTGATGGATTTGATTCGCTAAATTTTCTTCGTTTTTTAATAAAAAGCTAGCCGATAAAAATGGAATTCATAGTTTATTTTAATACTATAATATTCAAGGTAAGCACTAGCACTAGATGTAAAAACAAACTTTTGACTCTCGACTTTGTTCCTCGGGTTTATTAAATATTAATATGACAAAATGCGAAAAGGTCAAACCACATAGGCTTACTGAAAGCGTATCATATAATCTTAAATTGTATAAAGACATCCCTTAAAACCAATGTTAACTTTGACGTGAGTTCTGTTTTTAGTTGACTTATAAGGTATCAGATCACAGACTGCATTAGCTTTATATAGAGCTCTCTATGTATTTCCTAGGTAATATATAAGTTTGACTAATAAATGTGTGGACGGTTTTACATACTTGCCTGTATGCTCACTCCAGTCTTTCTCTGTGAAAGGCAAGGTATGTTAAGCTTTTGGCCCCGAAGTGTCCACAATTATTCTCCCTCTTTGATTCCATCTATCCTGATGGCGTCTGTACGTGGTATACACTAGTGAGGCTTCGTGCGTGAATTATTTCCTAAATTAAATTCGTTAGCTTCCAATCTTTCTTTTATCACTTTTTTCATACTTCATTAGATTTTACAACCCCGCAATTATACGTACACCTAACCTTTCTGATTAATTGAAAACGGGTCATACATAAAACACTGGGCGAAACCAGTGAGAATAGATAGCATTAATGACTGCATAATTCATAGCAGGATTCAACTCACATTCAACTGCTTAACATACCTTCCAAAAAAAATGTCAATATAAATTTAGTCACATGTCTTGTGGGAGACTATTGTAAAAATAATTTAATCACTTCGTCGCTGACTGGATATACTGACCATAGTGCGATTAAACGCCAATACTTACCAGACCAGTTGCTGTTAGATAGATAGATAGAATACTCTTTATTGTATACACACATAACAATTACAATTGTAGAATTCTTTTGTGCAATCTTAAGTAATAAATAATATAAAACAGTTATTTCCCACTGTCTTTACACTGAGATGGACGGATATTAATACGGTTTTTCATCAATATGAGAGATTCAAAAGGGATGACGCGGTCAAAGCCGCTGTCATCCGAAGTTATTAAGCTTAATCCCAAGCTTTCAGAGCACCTCGGATATTTAAATCATTATCATTTTTCTAAATTAAGTTACGATGTATTAGATACGGTGAGTTAAAAATACTTACACCAATTGTAATTTCTTAATCTCTCAATTAAATTGATTATCTTGATTTTAAGAGATCAGCCACCCACCCCCGTTGAATATAACGATTAGACCAAACAATTAGCCTCAATTCTTTTCACAGTTGCAAATAACAACATTGGCTAGTGATTGTAAAATATGATCTAAAATGGACGCATTCATGCCTTGACTTAGCTTGAGTAAGAGATCTTCATAGATAAGTTCGTGTTTCATTTCGTTTTTTAAACTCCCAAAATCTCAATAGCGTTACCATGAGTTTACAATGACCGTACTCGCTAGAGACTGCGTAAATGATTTGTATAGAGAACTGTACAGCGCTCCTAGCCGTCACTTGTGAAACTAAAGATTGCTAGTATGAGTCCTATAGTAAATTTACTTATCGAAAGCCAATCGCTAGCGACGAACGTTTTTTACGTTTCGTAGCTTATCTCATAGAACATCGGTACCATGAGTTACAAATTTGATAAACGTCATCGAGAAATACCGTAGCGACTGTAGTTAACTCTCTCACTTGCAAAACGTAGCGTGAAAACTTATTACTCTTGTTAGAGTATTGTTTAATAGATTATTTTCAGTTATTATTGACCCAAATAATGTCAACTAGGCATTATCTTTCGTGGAATATGTTATCATAAGATGCATATGAAGACAAACGACGAGAACAGAGAAAATTTGAAGCGCATATGAGAAATATTAGTGAGAATAATTTTATCAAAGAATATAGGCTTTGAACATTGATGACTCTTCCCTGTGGTCCTTCAGTGGGTTTACTAAGGTCATCATTTCTGTTAAAACATTAAAAAGGGATACGGATAACAACAATAATAAATAAATGAATGTAACGGGGTTAGATCTGATAGCATTTGATTAGGTTGTATATTCTTACTATATTTCAAAAATTTCATAAACTGCGTCTATTTTAAAAGTTTTATGTTTGATAAATTACAAAAAACAATGTATTATATTATTAAAGTTCCGCTAAAATTTACCTTAACCAAATAAAGAGCACTCAGCATTCCTTAACTTTATCCGAACACTTAAACAAATATTTCATCTAAAAAAACTGGAGAACTACATTTTACTGTACAAAGTATATTCTAGGTACATATTAAATAATATAGTAGAAATGTATTGAAGTACATTCCTTTCCATATACTCAACCAATAACTGTATTTGTGATACGCGGACTGCATTTAATGTTTAGGTATTATGCACAATTTACCAAAACAACCGCCAGTCAAGAAACAGAAATACTCAATGATTTGTAACAACACGGAAATAACCGAATAAATTCAAAAATTAGTTACACTTCGCGTTATGAGACTGATCAATGACGCTTAAAATTAGTAGGGTTTTATCTACTTTTTAAATTTGAATATCTAAATAGCCGGTTTTTTGCCCAAAGTCATCTTTTCTCACTCTATTCAGCATAATTAGAACGAGACAGTTTCATTTGGAGTGAAGTTAGGCGCAGTACACGGTCACGTAACAAAAACTATTCGAATGTTCGAGTTAACGTTAGCGAGTAAAGTAAATGTAAATGTGACTCATGGTACAACTTCTATCGAATACTATTCGAAGTGCGTTTATTCGCTATCGACTGCGGTAAAGTAATGAGAATTTTCGATAGCAACTCATGGTAGCGCTACAGGTGGGTTCTGGAATAGCTGTAGAATGTTCATGTACTTATGTTGTATACTGATTATTAAGTTCGGAAAACTAGTGTCTCTTAAATTTATATATATTTATAGACACTAAAAAACGAAGTAAAAATAAGACAGCTACATTAAAGAAAAATTCTTTATTTAATTTAATTTAAGCCAGCTATCCACCAACTGTGTGTGACAATAAAGGCTTATCATACATGCAAAAGTACATAAAACCTCTAAAAAACTGACAAAAGCTGACAATCTAGAATTTGGCACGCCTACACATATTAAACAATTAATATGGCAGTAAATTTGAGATGCCACGAGAGCTGTCGAATGAGGGCTCTTGAAAATTTGT